TCTTCCCACCTGAGACATGGAAAATCTTTTTACATTTCCAGTAAATTAATTTCTGCCAAAACTATAGCAACAAGCAAAACCACTATCTATAGTCATGCTGGTTATTCCCTTGGCTGACTACCACTCACCACAAATTATCTGTGTATGAAATACATGTATATTGTTTTTTAATGATGGGCCAGCAGACGCTTGACAGCACTTGTTGTGGTGGTCAGAGGACAGAGTTCTGTCTACCATGTGGGTCCCAGGGACCCAACTTAGGTGGCCAGGCTCAGCATATACTCAGACAAGTTTCTAATTTTCTAATTCAATTTTTGGAGATAGATTCTCACATTAACCAGGCCTTGAATTTCTCTATGTGGCTGAAGATAGTCCTGAACTTCTGACCTTGGGGTCTCTATCTAGTGAAAGGAATCTTGTAATGAAAAGTGTGTACAATCTGTTTTTAAGTGACGGTAACAGGGGCTGGAGAGATGGCTCAGTGGTTAAGAGCACTGACTGCTCTTTCAAAGATACTGAGTTCAATTCCCAGCAACCACATGGTGGCTCACAACCATCTGTAAATTCTGTCTTCTGGTGTGTGAAGACAGCAACAGTATATTCACATACATAAAATAAATAAATCTTTTAAAAAGTGATGGGAACAATCAAACTTCTCTTACTTATTATGTAGCTAAGAAAGCTTTGAATTCTTGACAATTCTCCTGCTTCAGTCTCCCAAGTACCGAGAACACAGGAGTATGCTACTATGGCTAGCTCAAGCTTCTAAGGAAATACAACTTTCTTTCTTCAAAATCAAAGAGTAGGACTCCTCAGTGGTTAAGGGTGTGTGCATACTGCTCTTGAAGAGGATCTGAGTCCAGTTCCCAGTATCCACATAAGGCAACTCACAATTGCCTGTAACTCCAACTACAGTGTCTAAAACCCTCTTCCACTCTCCAGAGACCTGAACTCACAGGTACATACCCACATGCATAAACATAATTAAAAATAAAAATAAAAAAGAATGTCTTTTTTTTAAAAACTGACTTAAAAACAAAACTCAAAGAGTAAATTGTAATTCCAAATATCTTGAGTCTTACCAAAAAAAAAAACAAAACAAACCAAGAGTTATAGAAAGCAAAGTTGACAAACAATATTGAAATTCAGTCTATATGTGTGACTCATTTCAAATGCAAGAATTTATAAATTCTATTAATCATGATTCTGACCTATACTAATACAAAAATGAGGTTTTTACATTTTTCCCTTTTCAGTGATATTTATTGTTTTTTTTTTTTTTAAGATTGTTTCTTGATTTTGAGACAGGTTTCACTCTGTACCTCAAGCTGGCTTCGAACTAAATTTGTAACCCAAATTGGCCTCATTTTCCTGAGTGCTAGGATTACAGATGTGAGCCACAAGATCCAGCTTTATATATTAGTCTATAAGTGGCTTCTTACATTTTTCTTTTATAAAGCATTTATTTACTGGGGAGAGGGATCACATATGTTCCACAGTAGTGTATATGTCAGAGAACTTTCAGCAACCTGTTCTCTCCTTCCACCATGTGGGTTGGAGTGGGGGAGGGTTGAACAGGCTCGGTGACATGCAATATTATCCACTGAGCTCCTGTCTTTCAGTTTATACAGATATCATTCTTCTCTCTCTTTTTCTTAATGTGGATAAGGAGCAAAATCCAGGGCCTTGGGTATGTTGAACAAATGCCTTATTATTGATGTATACCCACAGTCCCCCAAACAGAATTTATTCTCTACTAATTAAGGTTTTTTAAAAGGACAGGAAATTGACTTTTCATTAAAAACATAAATATAAAATCTTTTTTTTTGAAATAAGGCTAATGTAAATGGGATTTGTGATCATAAAACTAAATCATATTTTCCAATTTAGGGTAAAATACACATTCTAAAGTAGGGTATAATGGGTCATCCCTGTAGATCTCTGAACTTGAGAGTCTATGGCAAAAAGATTACCACCAGTTAAAGGACATTGTGGACTATGTGGACCAGCCTAGACTACAGAATAAAACCCAATCTTTAAAAAGGAGGAGGGGGCAGGCATGGCGGACCACACCTATAATCCCACTATTCAGGAAGCGAGGGAAGAGGGTTTCGGCAAGGTGGAGTACAATCCAGCCATCTAGTGAGCTACATGCCAGCCAGGGCTACATATCAAGATCCTGTCTGAAAAGAATAACTGGTGGGGGGGGGGGGGAGCAGGGGGGGGGAGTGATGACAAACTAACAGAGGCTGGAGAAATGGCTCAGTTGTTAAGAGAGCTAACTACTCATCTTGAGGACCCAGGTTTGATTCCCATTGCTCATGTGGTGGCTTGTGACTATCTGTGACTCTAGTCTCAAGAGATTTGATGCCCCTTTTGGACTCAATGGGCAATGCATGCAGTACAGAAATATGCATGCCAAGCAAAACGCTCATACACATAAGAATAAATCAATTTATAATTAAAAAAAAAAAGAAGAGAAAAGCAACAAGAGAAGAGCTCGTCACAGTTGGTAACTGCCATCCTGTCACTTGGCAGATGCAGGAAAATCATGATCTGGATCACCCTTTACTTATGTTCCAGGCCAGACTGTGCTATGTAAGATCCTCAAGCAAACACACAAAACAAACAAGAACATTAAAAAAAAAAAAAAAGCTGAGAAGAAATGAGACTTCCCCTCAGTATAAATCACAAAGCTAAATGGATTTTGTGTCGGTCTATCTCTCACATGGTTAACTGCTTAAAAGAGAGACATACACTAGAAGACTCACATAGCACACAAAACAAACAATAAATTATTATATATCCTGCTTAACCTACTCATTTTCCTTCCAAAGGTAGGTGGCCTATTTCTTTTTCCATGAGAAGGAATATTAATTATAGTATCCTAAAATATTTCATAAAACCATGCTTCCAGGGGCTCTAGATGTAAAGTACATGTTATCGTGAAAACCCAAGTTCTAGCCCCTAGTACCCATATAAAAGCCAGGTGTACCTGTGGCATCAGCAATCCTAGCACCAGAGAGGACAAGGATAGGCGAATCCCTGGAGTTCACTGGCCAGCTGGTTTAGGCAACCAAGCTCTGGGTTCTTTGAGAAACTCAGTCTAGAGAACAAATGAGTCCACCCAAAGCAAACCTTACACTTCTGCACACATACATGTACCCCCACAAAAAAAATAATAAAAATAGCCTTGTGTATTGGTAGAAGCCTTTAATCCCATGAGACAGAGGAAAGCAAATTTCTGTGAGTTGAAGTTTAACCTACTGTACCTAGTGAATTCCAAGGATGCATAGTGAGACATCCCTGGAATGACAAATAAACATAAAATGCATATTTCAGAAATTGGAGGTCAAATAAATTTATGTATTTTATTTATTTATCTTGACCATGTACATATTAGTACAAAAATAGATTTACACAGATAAGAACTGATTGTAGAAAAAAAAACTACATTAAGCAAGAATTTTGAAAGCCTGTCAGTTCTGTGTGTGGTGGGCCATGCCTACATAATTCCAGATCTAGGGAGCTCTAGACAGGAGGATCTCAAGGTTGACTCATCCTTGTGCTGCCGATACATAGTCCTTGCCAAAGAAAAACTAAAGCAAACAGAAGTAAGTTTGATGGTTACTGTTTTGAGACAGGGTCTCTCTGTAACCCGGACCGATCTTGAATTTGTGAAGAACCTCCCAGATCTGCAGGCCATGCCTACAAAGCTTTTTGTTTGTTCTTTTGAGACAGACTCAAACTCATTAGTAATGGAGGTTGACCTTGAACTCCTAATCCTCCTGCCTCCTCCTCCCCAGTGCTGGGTTTACAGGATTGGACACCTACTATACCCTTGCTCGCTTGTTTGTTTGTTTGTTTTAGACTGTAGGCTACTCTGGAATTCATTATACAGACCAGGTGGCTTCGAACTCCAGGCAATCCTTCTGTCTCAGTTTCCCAAGTATGGGATTACAGGCCTGAGAAACCATTCCAGGCTCAAATATGCCATATTTTCATTTAAAGAAACATCAAACGTTTTGTAGCAAAAATGTAAGCATAACCAACGGAAAACTACCAAAAACATCCCACCAATCACAGCGCTAAACAACGCCACAGGTCGTCCAAATTACGCATTTGTTTAAGTCAACAACAGCTCTTTCCTCCCTCCAAAGCTATCCCTTCCGGCGTCAGAGAAGACAGAGGGATGATTTGTGACTTCTCCCTTTTTTGATCCCTCGCCCCGGATCCACCTGCTTGGAAGTGTCAAGGAGACTAGAAATGGTTAACCGTGACCAGCTGCCGAAAGAAACAAACACTCCTGACAACCCACAGCTGAGCAAGCAAGGGCTGTTTATTCACCAGCGGGTCCCCTTTGGAGGCTGCCCGCAAGCCCTCGAAGGCTGGGCGACAGCACCTCCGAGAAGGTTCCTGGACAGGCAAAGTGGTTCTCGGGTCCCATCCCCATGTCCCCAACACACTCAGAGAGACTCCGGTGCGAACCGTCGGGTTACCCACCCGCCCCTCCAGAGCAGCCTCGCACTAAGCTACCCGTCCCTCCCCGAAGATGGGCTCTGACGCGGCCGAGGCTGACCCGAGCACCCGGCCTCGCGCCGCCGCGGCCCGGCGTGCTTGACCCGGCCCAGAAACTGGCCCTCCACGCCGCCACCCCTCACCTGGCTCTGTCCCACCTGAGCGCGAGAGCTGAGGGAGCAAGACGCGGAGAAGGGGCGCTGACCTTGTTGCTACTGACAGCGGAGCGCCACATGCTGCCGCTTCCCGGACAGCGGCCCGAAGGACATTTTTTCCCCCTGGAGGAAGGAAACGGGAGGGCGCCGGCCCGGCGGCGGCGGGCACGGCGGCGGGGGTCCCGGCGGGCTGTGCAGCCTCTAGCGGGGACGGTCCGAAGACTACATCTCCCAGGCTGCTCCGAGCCGCCTCTGCGTCGTGACCCCGGCGCGCACGGAGGCGGCGACTCTTACCTCACAGAGGTAGCTCCTCCGCCGGCAGCAGCTCGGCGACCCGGCGGTCCATGGACCGGAACCCTGGGCTGACCGGCAGGAACCCGGGCCGCGACCGCCGCCTCCCGGCCCCAGGCTCCTCCTCCTCGCTCCCCGCCGCCCTCTGCGGTCGCCCGCCGGCCGCGCACAGCCACCGCGGGCCTCTGGGAGCCGCGCCGGGAGGCTGTGTGGCGGGGCCGCGGCCGCCGTGGGACTGAGGCCTACTCCGCCGCCTCTCAGTGCTATTGTCCCGTGGCCTGGCCCTGAGCGGGGCTGCGGGCGAGGGCCGAGCTCGCCGGCTCCGCGGAAGATGCCGGACCAAGCCCTTCAACAGATGCTGGACAGGTAGGAGCAGCGTGGGGCCGGGAACCGCCGGCCTTCGTCCTGGGCCTGCCCATGCTGGCCTCGAGGCCCCGAGAGCGGGGATCCTGGCGTCCGCCGAGAGTTCCACCGCCCGGAGGCCGGGAGAAGGGCTCTGAGTTTGGAGATGGCACTGGAGGGAAGAGCGGACGAGCGGCCTGGGTCGTAGACTTAGAAACTTAGTTAAAGGAGGGAGGTGTACTTTGGCCGAAAGCCTGTTTTTTGAGGCGAAGAGGCTCTATTGTTAACCTATAGTATTAGTTTCTATTTCTCCCCTCCTCCCCTATGTTGTAAAGGGTTTGGCAGCGATGCCACTGGGAAGAACCCGATTATCATTCTGGAGAATGGTCCCTTGCACTTCCACAATGCAAGGATAGGCATTCTTTTTAAAAAGCCTAGGTTTCGTTTCTCCTTCCAAAGCCTCCCTCCTCCCCCCAATCCCATCCCTACCCCCAAACCGTAAGGTCAGAATATCCACAAGGGAGCCTTAACGGTCGGTCACACTAGAGTAGAGGTTATGGAAAACAGCCACATGCATGCAACATTGAACACGTAGCACACTTGACGATCGTTGAGTTCCCAGAAACGTTTGGGCTTGTACTGGGGCCAGTTGCCCATTCCTGGGGTCTCCAGCCAGTAAAACTCTTTGAAAAAGTCTACTGCACTGCCCTCTGCCGTTTAAATTCCAGCCAGAGAGTTCTTGGAGACTAAATTAAACCCACCTTTTCACAAAGGGCAGCTGCTTGCTGTTCTGACCAATTGTTCAAACTAATTCATAGTGTTTGTGGTTGCTTGCAACTCTAAATAGACTAACTTGCCACCCACTTCAGCAGGTGGTGCTCTCTATGCAGTTAAGATCCAACTTTGTAACTTGTTAAATGAAGGGCCTCTCTTGATTGAGGTTATAGCCATTAACTACTGGGGCTAGGAGGGGGCCATCAAAGGTCCATCAGGGAAGAAGGCAAGAAGTTACTCCCTCATATTTTATTCTAAATCCTAGGACAAGATTTACGTAAATCGTTGATACTTAACAGGTATTCTTCTAGAACTAATGAACTTGTCAGTTTCTCCAGTTGTCTAGGAGTCTGGTCTCTTCTCAGGTTTCTCTTTCATTATAATTTATCATACTTGACTAGATGTGTCATAGTAAATATGCCCAGAGAGATTACTGCCTGCCACATCGATTCCAGTTAAATGAGACTCGATTCTGGTGTTGCAGAGTTAATTATTTGCTCTGGTGACATTCCACTTTCACTTTTATGTGGTGACATTTAGAAACATTTTTATGTCTAGATGTTGTCTTGGCTTCTCATATATTCTTTGGAGGTTTTCATAAAAGCCAGTGAGTGCTAATGAAGCATTTACAGAAGCTTGGGAATTCTGGCTGTCCTTTTTAGAAACATATATAACTTATTGTAGTCGTTTTCCACTCCCATCACCCTAGCTCATCCCCATCCTCTACTGAGCATTTTCTTCCAAAGTCCTTTCCCATTCTGTGACCCATTGCCCCCTCATTTCTCTCTCTTCTCTCTCGCTGTGTGTGTGCACGCGCGAGCGAGTGTGTATTCCACTAAATTTAATTAGGATTGCTTGCATAAGCATGGGTCCAGGTTATTTACAGGAGTATGGGCAAGTTATCAGTGAGCACACCACTGAGTTCACTCCCTCCTCCTCTAGCAGCAGTGTCGGAAGTTCAGGGTAGGCCTGGGGCTTTGAGTCCCTCCTCTATCCCTGATGCAATGGTGTGTAGATCTTATGTAGATAACCACAGCTACAGAGGTGCAGGAGCAGAAGACCAAATGCACAGCACTCCTTGTCTCCCAACTCTTACATTCTTTCTGCACCCTTCCGAATTTTTTTTAAGAAAGCTTGAAATTTTCCATTATAAAATACTGAGGAAAACAAACCTCTGTGTGTGTGTGTGTGTGTGTGTTTGTGTGTGTGTGTAATTTATGAGGAAGATGACTAATCCTGCCTCCACCATACTCAGTTTATGCAGTGCTGGGAATTGAACCCAGGGCTTCATGCATGCTAGGTAAGCACTGTACCACAACCACATTCCCATCTCTTACTTAACACTGATAATCATTCTGATAGATATGTAGTCTTACTTATCTACTTACATGTTCTCTCCTCAGAATAAAAAACAAGACAACATAGGAAGTTTTAGCTATTATGTCATTTTGTTGTTAAATATGTATTCAGTTTGACAAATAGACAAAAAAACTTAGAAAATTACCTGTTATATTAAATATATATTTATGCTAGCAACATCTCAGCTCCCCTATTTGCTAATACACTTAGCAATTCTAATTTTATGCAGAAATGTTAGTCATCCTGTGACTATCCACACTAATGTGAATTACTTTAATTGAATTGTACTTGTAAAGTGGTTAAAGTGGTAAGTTTTATGATTTGGATATTTTACCATGGTAACTTTTTTTTAATGAAGCAGAGTTGAAGATATTATTAAAGATACTTTAATACTGGCTTCAGCATGAGGATTAAGAACAAAGAGGTGATGCTCAAGGAAAAAAAGCATATTTGAGAATATGTATGTGGGTTTCTCAGAGTCCCAGAGACTAAGTCATATCCAAGTATGGGTAAGTGTTTCTACAAGGGAGAGTTGCCCATAGTTTTTTGTAATTTTGTTTTTCAGTTTAGTTTGCATATGTGGAGGTCAGAGGTTGGCTCCCTTCTTTGAAATGTGTGTCCCAGATGCCAGGGTCAGATGGTCAGACTTTGTAGCAGGTTCTTTTACCCACTGAAACATTTTGCCTCTTTTTCCCCTGTTTTAATTGAAAGTTTTTACTTGAAGTGCATATTGAAATCCAAGGTTTTCTACAAGGGCTGGGAACACATCATTTGTAGTACCTGACTATACAGTCAGGCTTTCCCACTGTGCATATTAAGCCAGTTGTTCTAATAGAAACCAGTTATCTAAGTGAAAAGCACAGTAAGTAACAAGCTTTAATTAGAAATAGTTCCCACTTACACAAACTTCAGTGGAGGAAAGGGGGTTCTCTGTGAGTTAAATCAATGTCAAAATTTGTGTAGAGGCTGGGGGTGTGACTCAATTGGTAGAGTGTTTGCCAAATATACACAAAGTCCAAATTCATCCCCAGTGTAAAGAGTGGTGGAGGCAAGTGGTTCAGAAGTTTAGTTATCCTTAGTTGCATAGAGTATTTGTGCTACCCTAGACCACATGAGACCTTATCTGGAAAAAAAAAAAGTAACAGAAAAAAGGAATTGTGAATTCAATATAATTATGCAAGAAAAATGAGGTTTCATGAAATACTTTAAATGTGTTGAGAACCAGGCTTAGTTTCGATTAAAGGTTTGGTGGTACATGCCTTTAATCCTATTGCCCAGGAAGCAGAGGTAGGTAGGCCCCATCCACATAGTGCATAGCTGATGGTCGTAGTAGAGACCGTGTCTTGCTGCCCAGGGTTGCCTCCAACTTCTTGGGCTTGTCTCAGCTTCCCAAGTTGCTGAACTGCACAAATGTGTCACTGTGTCCAACCAGAAAAAATGTACTTAAATTAGCTACTCCATAGAGTTATTTAGTTAGAATAGCCATTCTGACACTGTGAAGCTTATGTTGGGTTTACACTTTCACTATTGAATACTTTGTATACACTTATCTATCACCAAAAGCTTAGGGGAAAGGAATCCATGACAGAACTAGAAAACAGTGTCCATTACTTGAATTCAGTCCTTCCTCGTCCCCTAATGTTTATCCTGCCTTGTTCTCCTTTGGATCTTTACCCACATTCTTCACATACATACGGGCCTTGTTTGCCTGGGTGCTGCAGCTTCAGTCTATGGGACTTCTCTATTATTTTATACAGTAATGTTCCCTTCTCTGAGGTTTTACTTCTTTCAATTAAAGTCAACCATATATTGTAGACTAGTACCCAACTATGAGAGAGGGTCCTTTAAAAATTCATTGAAATGTAGACTTTGGGCCTACTTAGTTTTGTTGAATGAATTCTACTTGTAGGTTCTTTATACTATAGTTGTAAAAATAGATTTTTTTTTATTTTATTACTAGTTGGGGGTGGTTTGTTGTTTTTGTTTTTTTGGTTTTTTTTGGTCTTTTTTTTGTTTTCTTTGTCTTTTGTGGGGTTTTTTGTTTTGGGGTTTTTTGGGTTTTGGGTTTTTTTGTTTGTTAGGTTGGTTGGTTTTGGTTTTTCAGGAACAGTGGATTTACTGGAACTTGCTCTGTAGACCAAGTTGGCCTCAAATTCAAGAGATCTGCCTGTCGCTGCCTCCTGAATGCTGGGATTAAAGGCCTGGGCCATCACTGCTTGCAAAAAGAGAATTATTTAAATATAAACATAAAAGTAATTCTACCTGTGATAGTGGGAAAAATCTAAATTTGGAAATTCTAACATCCAGTCTATTCCCATAGAGTTTTATCTATTTTTCTGAACTTTTTCTTATATCCATCTTTCTAGTAATTTTCTCTGACTAGTGAATTAGAGTATAAAAATAGTTTCAAGTATCTTTTCTTTTTAAGACCTTGAACTTAGAAAGATCCGAATTTATCATATTGTCATCCTAAAGTCATTTATCCCTATGTCCTTTCTTCATCACTTCTTCCCAGTGGCAGTATTGAACCAAGGGCCCTGTGAATTTGCCATACCAGTAACTTAGAACCCTCCACTCTCAGCCTATAAGATGATGTTGCTGTGTGATTCAGGCTTCCCTGAATTCAGAGGTGTCTTCTGTCTCCCAAGTGCTGGCTTCATAGATGGGAGTAAGCTACTACACTCAACGCTTGTACTTCTTAAAGCTGTTATTATGGAGTGGAACATGCAGGTATATGCCTGTGATCCTAGCTAGATATTTGAGGCAGGAGGATTAAGAATTCAAGGTCAGCATAGGCCGTGTGAGGCACTGTCTCAAAAGAAAAACACAAGAGACAGAAAAGAAGTTGTTGTGATGTCCTTTTTCTTCCTATAGCCATCTTTTACCATTAAGAGAAAGGAGTGGGCTTTTTAAAAATTGTTTGATTTCTTCAGTTGAAAATTGAGTGATCTGAGAATATACCTCAGAGCATTCTGCCTAGGATATTTGTAATCTTGGCTTGAGAGGGTAGGGGAACTGTATATGAAAACACTAACACTTTGTTTTTCCAAGTTCAAGAGGTCTTAATAAGCAAAAGATACTTGAAACTGTTTCTGTATGCTAGTTCACTAGTCAGAGGAAATTCAGAAAATAGATTCTGTAGATAAAAAACAAAACAGAAGAAAAGCTCTACTGGGAATAGATTGGTTGTTTGGCTTTATATTTTTTTACAGGAATTGTACAATACTACATAATAGTTCCATCTCATTAGCTAAGAGCTTCATGTGCAGGAGGCTGGAACCCTAAAGGTAAAACATTTCTTTCTTCATTTACAGAAGTTGCTGGGTATGTTTTGCCACCGATGAAGATGATAGAACAGCTGAATGGGTGAGACCATGCAGGTGCAGAGGATCTACTAAGTGGGTTCACCAGGCTTGTCTGCAACGCTGGGTAGATGAAAAGCAAAGAGGAAACAGCACAGCCAGAGTGGCCTGTCCTCAGTGCAATGCCGAGTACTTAATAGTGTTTCCAAAGCTGGGTAAGGACTGATTTAAGAACAACACAGACATGTTCACTGTTCTCTCTCTCCTCTCTCTCTCTCTCTCTCTCTCTCTCTCTGTGTGTGTGTGTGTGTGTGTGTGTATGCTCGTGTGTCCATCTGTAATTAAAAGACAAGGTCTCACTCTGTATCCCTGGAATTCATGACAGTCTTCCTGCTTCATCTTCCCCAATTGCTGCCGTTATGATCAACAGCACCAAGCTCTCTGGCTGGCCGGTTGGTTGGTTGGTTGGTTGATAGGTTTTTATGTGTATGAGTGTTTTGCCCACATCAATGTATAGACTGTGTGCATGCCTAGTGCCCCAGGAAGCCAGAAGAGGGCATTGGGTCCCTGAAGCTGGAGTGTGATGATTGTAAGCCACCATGTGAGTACTGGGAGCTCATTCCAGTTCCTCTGGAAGATCAGTCAATGTTCTTTAATCGCCAGTTCCTCGGATTTATTTTTAAATAATTTCTTTATCTTTGCTTTTTTGTGAATGTATTTTCCCTCTCCAAATGTCAAACACTTAAGTTGCTAACCATTTACAATATCTTTAACAAGTCCCTGGACTTGCCTATTTGTCAGTATATTAACTATTTTTATTTGAGAACAAAAGGACTTTTATGACTGACTATGGATATAACCGAACAAGAGAGCTGACTTAAGGCTGGGGATACAGCTTTGTCAGTCAAGTGCCTGGCAAGCACGGGAACTTGAGTTTGGTTCTCATAACACGTGTAACCTTAGTGCTGGAGAAGCAGAAACAGGACGATCCCTGGGGCGCACTGTCCAGCCAGTCTGTGTTACTTGATCAGGCCGATGACAGACCCTGAGATTAGATGGTCTTTCTGAGGATTACCCCTGAGAGTGCATATAGATTAAAAGGGGGGTGAGGGATAGATACAAGGAGCATCTTTCTTTAGAAACAGTTTATGAGAAAAAGCAGCAGTGAGTATTCTAATATTCCTTGATTCTTTTATTAAAAAACAAAAACAGAAAGTTAAAGTTTTGCTTTGGGTTTTGGCTAGGCACCGAACTGTGTGTCTTTTCCATTGTAGGCAAGTGTTCTTGCTCTACCACTGAGCCAATAAAGTTAAGTTCATTTTGAGAATTCAGCTTATATTGTTATCTTTCAGGAAAACTACCCCCTTTCCTGGGCATTATTGGACATGAAAATAACCAGAAGTCTTTGAGAATGGGACTAACCTGGAAAAAAGTATCACTCTGTTCATTTACAGCCATATGTTTCTGAGCTAGTGTCATTTTTATTTGGAATGTATGCCTTGCTGTTCTTAAAAACATTTTTAATATTAACCTTACCAATAATGAAGAGGTATGGAAGAAACCCAGCTTCATAGAAAAAAAATAGCAATCATTAGATTTACTGTTCTTGGCGGGTGCTATACACATTCTAGGGATGTCGATAATGAAATGCTTTTCTAATACAAGGTTGGGGAGGTAAAAATGTCTGCCTGTTTTCATGGATGTGAGCAAAGAGCTTTGCATAAAAGCCAGGTAGTATAGTGAAGAAAGTAGTGTTCCCAGACTTTTGGGATTTGTGGACCACATGAGGAATGTTCATACACATCACTAATTTTTTTTTTTTAGAGATTTATTTATTTTTATATATGTGAGTATACACTGTCACTGTCTTCAGACACACCAGAAGAGGGCATCAGATCCTATTACAGATGGTTGTGAGCCACCATGTGGTTGCTGGGAATTGAACTCAGGATCCCTGGAAAAGCAGTCAATGCTCTTAACCACTGAGCCATCTCTCCAGCCCACACATCACTAATTTTAATAAGCATAAAAAGATGAACTGACTGGTAATCGATACATCTCTGTAATCCCAGCACTTGGGAGAGGAAGAAGGATATAGAGTTCAAGGCCACCTTAGACCACATAGGATGATCAAGAGTGGCCTAAGCTATGCAGTGAGACTGTCACAGAGAAAAAGAATAGCCTAAGGAGTTTTTCTTTTTTTCTTTTAAGATTTAGGTATTTGTTTTATGTATATGAATACACTGTAACTGTCTTCAGACACACCAGAAGAGGTTTGTTGGTTCCCATTACAGATAGTTGTAAGCCATCATGTGGTTGCTCAGAATTGAACTTGGGACTTCTAGAAGAACAATCAGTGCTCTTAACCACTAATCCATCTCTCCAGCCCTAGGTGTTCTCATTTTAAGTGCAAGATAATATTTTAAAACACTGTAAATAATCAAGAGGCAAGCAGGTAGATTATGAATTTAAGGCCAGCCTGGTCTACTAGTGAGTTCTAGGACAGCCATAGCTGTGTAATGAGACATCCTTTAAAAAGAAAGAAAAGGCCGGGCCGTGGTGGCACACGCCTTTAATCCCAGCACTTGGGAGGCAGAGGCAGGCGAATTTCTGAGTTTGAGAGTTTGAGGCTAGCCTAGTCTACAGAGTGAGTTCCAGGACAGCCAGGTCTACACAGAGAAACCCTGTCTAGAAAAAAACGAAAGAAAGAAAGAAAGAAAGAAAGAAAGAAAGAAAGAAAGAAAGAAAGAAAGAAAGAAAGAAAGAAAGAAAGAAAGAAAGAAAGAAAAACTTAGAATAGGTGGGTAGAAAGATGGCTCAGTGCTCAGGTGTGCTGCCTGCTCTTGGCTGAGAACCTGAGTTTGAGTCTCAGAACCTGTGTTGGACAACTCACTTCTAACTTGAGCTCCTGAGGTTTTAATACCCCTCTGACTTCCTCAGGCACGCACATAAATAATAAATCTTTAAAAATCATTCAGCCTTAGCCGTAGGATGGAAGTACAAGATTTACAGGTTTGTGGCAACACACCCAGCTCCACCTGAATCTAAATCACTGCTGTAGCAAAGGTATGTTTGCAGTGTCTTGAAACAAAACTGATTACTCCTTTTTGAGTAGCCTAATATGTTTACCTAAAAGTTTCGGTTTGATTTTCTTTCTCACTTAAATTTGAAATGCAAAAATTTAAACTTAACCTCGAATATTAGGATAGTTTTTGTCTTTGTAAAAATCATTGTTATGTAAGAGCATTCACAGTAAGCTTCTTTTTAATTACAGGCTTTTCTAGTAGCCTTTAAATTATTAGATTTCTAAAAATCAGTGTTGATTCAAAGCTTCAATCGCCGTCCATTGTGTACAATGGACGTACTGTTAAAAGTGCCAGACCCACCATGCCATTGAAAATTCAATTATGCAGACTGGGGAGCTGGGGGTGAAGTTTAGAGGCAGAACACATACTCGGCATGCATGGAGTCCTGGGTTTAGTCATCCATCAGTGCTGAACGCTAATATGGCATTTCTAAAATACTGAAACCTGTGTGCCCTTAGTTAACTGGTATTGAGCATTTTATTCATGCTTTCTCTTTCCTATTAGGACAAGAGTTTTCAAGGGCTAGGATTTTTTTTTCTCCCCCTCCAATACTCCATAGCTCTTTGTGTTGTAACCTGGTACTATTTTCCTAAAATTATCATCCCCCACCCCCTGGTCATGAGGCAACTGCACCGAGTTTTCTGATTAGCACATGGGATTGGGGGTATCATTCAGAGGATTTCAGTGAGTGTTTTTTTAGCAAAATGCTTGCCTTAGATAATCTTTTGTTCATAGAAATATCTCCTCTGGGTGGCGTTTTATCGTAATGGTATGTTTAATACTAAGTATTTATTTCTTCCTTCAAAATATTAAAACTAATCTTAGACTGGTCTGTCTGTCTGGTAGTAATGAAAGATTTAGGTGACATAAAATTAAGATAAAAGACAAGACAAGAATTTTGTCAGGAAATATATAGAACTAAGTAACTCAGCCCATTCCCTAATTTTACCAGGCATGTGTTTTACATATAACCCAAGGGATGGTCACAAAATTTCCAAAAGAAAGTATAAGGATCTGGGGATTTTGTTAAAAAAAAAAAATCACACTAGTTTGGCATATTTTTCTATAGTCTGTTAGAAAAACAATTCAGACATCTAGGCATAAAGATAATTGTGGTCTGCCTTTTAGGAATTGTTTTCATCTAAGTACATATGACTTTTATATAAATTATATCACTGAACTACCAATAGATAGTTTCATTTACTATATACATACCTTAAGAGAGTTCAGTTAAACAAATACTTGAGAACTATAAGAATTTGAAATATATCAGTAAGTAAATCAGATCTTTTCCTTTTATGAGTCTGTGTTTCAATGCAGGAATAAGCAGATCTCTTCTGTAAATTCCTATATAAATATGTTTTAGGCTCTACGTCTGGCCATTTTTTCAGTAAAACATTAGTTACAAAAATAGCTGGTTGGATCTGGCCATGGGCCAGTGGTTCTCGAGCCATTGTTCTAATAATGAAAATAGATAAAGTATGTTCCACCATGAAAATGCTTTAGGAATAAAAGAAATACCACAAAGAAGGAAGTGTGGTGTGGTTGGAATTGGCAGAGGGAACTTTACTGAAGTAAAGAAGGAACCAGCAAAGGAAACTGATAAGGGATCAATTAAATATGTCCTGGAAAGAGAAGAACCAACCACATGTCAGAAAGAAAATATGTCGTGTGTGCCCTGATCGTATGACTAAGTGGGACTGAGGTTAGGTCATTGAATGTAGATATGTGGAGGGTGTCAGTGATGCCAGGGATAGCTTGAGTGTGATAGGTTCATGGAAAGTAAGAATGATTTCAAGTAGTTTACTCAGAAGAATCAAGGAGAGAGGGAGTAGTGGGACAGGAAGGACCAAAAGGTTTTTGGAGGATGGTGCCTTTAGTGCCAGCACTGGGCAGGTAACGTCGACCAACCTTTGTGAGTTCAAGGGCAGTCTGGGCTACACACTAAGTGCCTATCTCAAGACTTTAAGGGACTTGGTGAAAAGATTCAGCAGACAAGGATACTTGCCCCAAGCAAGCCTGCTCATCCTTAGACCCACATGGTAGAGGGAGAGAACCAGCTCCTCAAGGTGTCTTCTATCTTCCTTGAAGCACCTACCTACACTCCAACATTGTAATAACATTTTTTAAGATAAATGAAATATCATGTTTGTCTGATAGAGATAAGCCTTGGAGTAAGTGAATGATGGAGGAGAATGGGAAGAGAACAACTGAAGCGCTGGCTTGAGTTAGTGATGGGGACATGGGTGTGCTTTGCAAGTGAGTGACTGGGTTTCGGGATGTGCACTGTTGACATGGAGTTGACCAGAGGAGGAGCTTTGAAGGCCTTGTGGTCCATAACAGAATTCAAAATCAGCTTTTATTACATACCCATGGTGTCTAGCTTCCAGTGCTGCCATCTGGAGTCTTAAGTAGCTCACTAAGATGAAATTTTTTTGTGCCTTCTGAGGAAGTGATAAACCTAGCTGTCTTAAGTAGATTGAGATTAGATGATACATACACTACCCATAGCACGGCACTTGGTATCCTACAAGACAAATGCTGTCAGAGGCTATAAAGTTAGAAAGCACTAAATCAGGCTTACTTTATCTCTTTGCGCGCCCCCCCCCCCAATACCTTATTGGGGTGTTGTTTTGGTTTTTTTTTTTTTTTTGTTTTTTTTTTTTTTTTTTTTTTTTTTTTTCAGATTTTTTTAACTTAGTTTTTACTTACTAAGTTTACCTGCTCACTGTCCCCCTCCCCAATACCTTATAGTTTTAAATGTCATTTAAGTTATCACTTACAAATGACTAGTAGCTACATGGGAACCAGAGGCCTTCAGCGTCCCTCCCCATGCTCCTTACTTCACAGTGTCGCCTCTGTTTACAGTGGCTGGCTCCAGAAGCCAGTGGGGAGTTTGGATCAGGGGCTTTAAAGGATACATTTTTTTTCCTTGGATGTTTAGTTATTCCATCATCAAATTACTATGCTAGTTTCTTTGTACAAAGATGGTAACTGCTTTTGTTTATAGCATTTTGTAGATTGAAGGCTCCAAGAAAGCAAGTGACAGAGCTCATACATTCCTAAGAAAGTGTCTTAAATAACAGTTTGTGTATAAAGGTATTCAGCAGTAACTTAGCCAACAAGTTACGTAGACCTCTGGTTAAATGCAGATGTCCAGTTCCTTGGTTTTATTTTGAACAAATCTAAGACACTTCTATTTCTCTGGAAAATTCCAGAGCTAAATTAAATTGGACTTAATGGCAAATAAAATACCTCCAAAAATACTAAGCATTTAACTGAGAATTGGCACATGTAGCTGTTGAAATAAATACTGGCATCATAATCATTTTTTAAAAGCTTGTTAGAAAATAATTTTCAACTAGAGTATATTTTAAGTCAAGTAAAATAAATTGACTTGTCTAGCTCTAAGAAAATAGCCGTGGGGCTAAAGAGATTCACTGTTTAAATTCACTGTTTAACAGCACTGGCTGAGCACTTGGGTCCAATTCCCAGCATCTATGAGGAGGCTCACAACCATATGTAATTCCAGGTTCAGAGGGCCCAGCACACGCACGCACATGCACATGATTTTTAAAAAATCTAAAAATACCCATTATTTAAGGACTAATTTTAGATCATCTAACTTCATATAAATGTTTTAGCTATAGAAAATATTGAAGAAGTCATTTTAAAGCCCTACCTTATGTTGAAACTTTTCTCTCTTTATATTGTAGGTCCAGTCGTTTATGTTTTGGATCTTGCAGATAGACTGATCTCAAAAGCTTGCCCTTTTGCTGCAGCAGGAATAATGGTTGGATCTATCTATTGGACAGCTGTGACTTACGGAGCAGTGACAGTGATGCAGGTTCACCATTCTCTATTCAGTGACACTACTTTTGATGTGAAGGTCTATTATATATTTGCTAGGAGTTTTAAAATAGATTGTTTAAATAATGATGCTATCAAGATTAAAGAATAAGACTTTACATAAAGAGACTAGAGCCGACAAGGTGGCTTAGCAGGTAGAGATAGATGCTTGCCAGAGCCTGGTGACCCAAGTTCAGTCCCCAACACTTATGTGATAGGAAGGGAGGGAAGGGACTGACTCCCAAAGAAATTGTTCTCTGAACTTACACATGATTTGTAGCATGCTTCACCATGATCGCGTGCACACCGTAAATAGAGTATTACACAAAGTCAGCTAGTGAAAAGGTCTTCTCCTCCTGTCCTTCGTTTGCCTAGGCCCCCCATCTCCTCAGATAGCTACTAGAGCTAATTTCATATTAAACTGCACTCTCTGTTTCATAATGAATCGTGATCTTTTCACATAACTGTAGAGATCTGCAAGCATTCTGTGTATATAATTACAGCAGGTTATTAACCACTCTGTTTTTATTTTTAGGTAGGTCTTAGTATTTGGCTTCAAACAACATATACATAGATGAAATGCTACAGAACAGTTACATAATTATATAAATATGAATCAAACGCAAAGCTCCATAAACAGTTATAACTCAATAAAGGGAATTTATAGTTGTTGTTATAAGTCTTAATCTGGTACTTGAAAATGTAAGTCATCTGGATTCATAGAGTGGAAGTACTAATATCATATAAGCAAGAAAACACGTTACAAATATGTATTTTGTAAAACTGTTTAGAAATCACCTTTGTATGTACTGCCGTACTTGAAACATTTATTCTAGAAATGAGTGATTAGCTGGAACAGTAGATAGATACTGTGTGACTTAAAGGTTTTGGGAGGGCATTTTTTACCTAAGCATGCATGTACGAGTATATAAGCATTGTTTTTTGGTTTTTCGAGACAGGGTTTCTCTGTGTAGCCCTGGCTGTTCTGGAACTCACTCTGTAGACCAGGCTGGCCTCGAACTCAGAAATCTACCTGCCTCTGTCTCCCAAGTGCTGGGATTAAAGGTGTGCGCCACCACCGCCCGGCTTACATTTTTTTTTTTTTTTACCATGAAAAACTATGCTTAGCCGGGCGGTGGTGGTGGTGGTGGTGGTGGTGGTGGTGGTGGCGGTGGCGGCGGTGGCGGCGGCGGCGGCGCACACCTTTAATCCCAGCACTTGGGAGACAGAGGCAGGTAGATTTCTGAGTTTGAGGCCAGCCTGGTCTACAGAGTAAGTTCCAGAACAGCCAGGGCTACACCGAGAAACCCTGTCTCGAAAAACATACATACATACATACATACATACATACATACATACATACATACATATTAATTTTATACATGTGAGTACACTGTCGCTATCATCAGACACACCAGAAGAGGGCATTAGATCCCATTACAGATGGTTGTGACCACTATATGGTTGCTGGGACTTGAGCCCACAACCTCTGAAAGAGCAGTCAGTGCTCTTAACCTCTGACCCATCTCTCCAGTCCTCTATACAGCATCTTTAGAGGTAGAGGCAGTTATCTGATCATTTGATAGGGAGTATGTTCCAATAAATCAGTATTTAGAATTTTCTTTCTTTTTGGGGGGATGTTGGGGTTTTTTTTTGTTTGTTTGTTTGTTTTTGTTTTTGTTTTTGTTTTTGGTGTGTGTGTGTCCGTCCCCGTGTCTCCATCTGTCCATCCGGGGAGTGCAGACTAGTTTATGTCAAGTCCACAATCAACATAAGTAACACATGGATGAGAACAAGATTATCATGTAGCCAGGCTTGTCTCCGATTTGATTTGTAGCCCAGAACTTCAGAACTTTGTGCCTCCACCTTCCCAAGTCATAGGATAATGGTGATGGCTACTGTTGATTGTGATTCTCTGGATAAGGTTAGTTGAGATGGGGGCACATACCTTCAATATGGAGCAACACTGCTCCATGAGGCGGGGTTCTAGACTGTGTAAAAAGAAGAAAAGGAGCTGAATAGTACTCATTTTCTCTGCCTCCTGCCTGTGGCCTGCCTTGCCTCAGCTGCTTCAGACTCCAGTCAGCATGCCTTTCCCACTATGCTGAGCTGTCTCCTCAACCTGTGAGCTAGAAGAACCCCATAAGTTGCTGTTGTTGGTATTTAATCACAACTAAAAATAGCTACTACAGCCACCATGCCCAGTTTATATGGTACACCAACTGAGCTAAATGCATATCCTTCGCTAGGATTTGCCATCCGCTAGGGACTTGACATTTACACTTTTCAGTTTGCTCTGTGATGACAACTCTGGAGTTGATACAGATCACCAGCCAGATCACTGTTCCCATTAGTCATCATTACTTCTCTATGTCTCCAGTCTAGTTATGGGATTTGAATGAGATTTTTCGCTTGATTTTTGTGTTTGTTGGGTGTTTGCTTGCTTGTTTGGTGATTTGTTTTGAGACAGTCTCACTATATAGTCCTAGCTGATCTCAAACTTAACAAAGATAGATCTATATACTATTGCCTCCCAAGTGCTGGTTTGAGGAGCTGTTTGTGTTTTGTGTGAAGATACCACTATTATGTAGTCCTGGCTATTCTAGAACTTCCTATGTAGATCAGACTGGCCTAGAACTCAGAGCCCCTGCCTTTGCCACCTTCAATCAGATCAAGTGCTGGTATTAAAAGAATATGCCACCACACCTGCCTGGCCTTTTATTTTTTAAACAATGTCTTTTTACTTAAACACTTTATCTTCCTACCTTATCCCCTCAAGTGCTAAGATTACAGCTTTGGGGCACCACTTGACAAAATTCTAACTTTAAAAAAGTATACAAAATATAACAGGTTTCATTGTGGCCTTTTTATGCATATGTCATATTTTGTTCTTAGCCTACCTCCCTGCTACCCTTCCCCTCCCCTCTTGCCTGTTTTGCTGAATCTCTTCTTCCCTCTAAGGAGACCTCTCCTGGTTTCCTGTGAAATGGATGTTCTATTGACCTTGCCACCACCACTTTCTACCCTCTTTAAAGACCTTTGCACAGTCCCCTTTAAATTCTATAACAAAAACACATGCAACACACACAAATTTAAATCTAGATTCTGCATAGGATAGGGAACGGCAGTATTTTATATGTCTGCTTTATTTTGTCTAACATAACAATTGCCAGTAATGATATTTTCTTGTAAATATAATTGAGAGGGTGCTGAATAAAATGTCGTTGCTGTGTGCACCACATTTACTTTATCCACGTCTATATTGATGGACCTAAGGGTCTTTTGGCTATATAACCGAGAGTACTATAGTTGGGTTAGATGGTGCTGTATTTTTAGTTTTTGAAGAACTTGCACACTGACTTCCACAGTGGCTGCACTGGTTTATACTCTGACTAGCCAAGTGTGAGGGTTCCTCATTCCCATATCTTCCCTGGCCAGCCTTTATTGTCTTCTTAACATTAGTCATTTTGATGGGAATAAGATAAAATTTCAAAGCAGTTTTGATTTGATGTCTAATGATGTTGAACACCTTTTTAAATATTAATATGTGTTGGACATTTGTATTTCTTCCTTTGAGAACTATTTTGGTTCTTTAGACCATTTAGGGATTAGAAAAACTCCATTCACAATAGCTTAAAAAAAAAGCTATACAGAGAAACCCTGTCTCAAAAAAAAAAAAAAAAAAATCAGACTATTTAAAAATAAACGTAACTTTGGGTCATTAAAGAAGATAATTAAGGGTCTAGAGTCTAGATGGTCCAGTGATTAATAATGCTGTTCTTTCAAAGGACTTAGGTTAAATTACCAGCATCCACCTGGTATCTCACAGCTGTCTGTAACAGTAGTTACAGGTAATTCAATACCTTCTTCAGGCATCAGGCATACACATAACAACAGATGTTTGGCAAACACCATACACATAAAATTAAAAGAAAACAACTGGAAGACAGAAAAACCTCCCTTACTCATGGATTGGCAGGATTAATATATAAATGTCTGTGTTATCAGAATCAAACTATAGGCTCAACATAATTTGCATCAAAGTTCCAGTGTCTTCACAGAACTAGAAAAGGCAATCCTGAAATTCATAAGCACTAAAAAGACCCTCAATAGCCAAAACAGTGCTAAGCGGAAAGAGCAATCTGGATATATCACTGTACCTGGTTTCAATCAGAGGTGTTGAGTCACACCTTTAATCCCAGCAAACAATGTTTCAAAACAAAAACATACATTGAGGAGAAAAATCCAGCTTTTCAAAGAATAGTATGGAGAAAACAGTATCCACTTGAAGGAGAGTAGAACTAAATCTAAATCTGTCAGTTACCCCGTACAAAAATCCATTCAGAGTGGATCAAGGGCCTTAAAAAACATAGGTAAACTCTTCTTAGAGGCATAGGCAAGAATTTCTCCAAGAAAGAATCCTTTTTGAACACCCCCCCACCCCACCCCACCCATGGTCTTTAGTATCACCCTTCTTGTAGATTCAGTTGATATGTAGCCAGACAAACACCTCTATGTTTCTTAAACTGTCCAGAGAACACACAGTGGGAGCCTCCCCTCTTTCCCTTTGTGTTTGTCATTGTGGTCAGTTACTGGAAGACAGCTGCCATACAGCGTGTGCCTTTAATCCCAGGAGTTGGAAGGCAAAAGCAGTTTGAAAAGCCTTTGAGTTTGGGGCTGTCCTGATCTATATAGTGGGTTCCAGACCATCCAGAGCTACACAGTGAGACTCTCAAAAAGTTAAATAACAACAAAACTCAGATGTCCCTTCACGACTCTATTGAGATATAATCAGTGCATTTTTGTAAAGTTCTTTTATTCCAACATAAAATGAAATAACTTGCAGATTTTATCCACCACCCACTTGAGATAGATGGCGATTCTGTATTTTATTTTCTTTGAGGCAGGGTCTCACTGTGTAACCCTGGCTGACAGCTATGTAGATCAAGTCACGGAAATCTACCTGCCTCAGTGTTCTGAGTATTGGGACTAAAGGGCTTGTGCTTCTGGTGATCTTCCTTCCTTCCTTCCTTCCTTCCTTCCTTCCTTTAATATTTTTTTTAATTATTTTTTATGTTTGAGGTTTGTTTTGTATACATGTAGTATATGTGTATGTACCAACTGTATGTAGTACCCACAGAGGCCAGAACAGCTTGTCATGTCCCTGGGAACTAGAGTTACAGGTGGTTGTGAGTTGCCATATGGGTGCTAAGACTTGAACCCAGTTCCTCTACAAGAACAGCTAATGTTCTTAACCACTGAGCACCAATATTACTTTTTATAAATAAATCAAGACTAATAGCTTTCAGGCTTTTAAAAAAACTTCTGTTTCTGTGTTTTGAAACTAAATGTGTCTTACAAAATGAATGGAATATATACCACTTAGATATGTACCACTGCTTTAGATTAAAAAAATAATAATAGCTGTAGTAAATGTTGTCTGCTTCCCAGGTTGTAGGCCATAAAGAGGGGCTGGATGTTATGGAGCGAGCTGACCCTTTGTTTCTTTTGATTGGACTTCCTACTATCCCTGTCATGCTGATACTCGGCAAGATGATTCGCTGGGAGGACTATGTGCTTAGACTATGGCGCAAATACTCAAATAAGCTGCAGATCTTGAGCAGCATATTTCCAGGTAATGTCCTGAGTGTGGCCACATACAGTGCATGTTGAATGGATGCTTAAAAAACGCTTAAAGCTTGGAGGTTTTTTGTTTTGGTTTGGTTTGGTTTTGGTTTGGTTTGGTTTGGTTTGGTTTTAAGCTATTCCTAAAATCTAGTTCTAACATATTGCCTTTCCCCCTCTAGGGATTGGTTGTCCTGTTCCTCGAATTCCAGCTGAAGCTAATCCTCTAGCAGATCATGTCTCTGCTACTAGAATTCTGTGTGGAGCCCTTGTCTTTCCTACTATTGCGACAATAGTTGGTAAACTGATGTTCAGTAGTGTTAACTCAAATTTACAAAGGACAATCTTGGTAAGATGGATTTAATATTACTTGTTTCAAGCAGTATATAGATGAGAGCGAACTGTATTTTTTTTAAAGAGAGAGGTGTTCAGTAGGGGCTCTATGGCTGCTCCCTCCATCATCCCACTGTCAGCTTAGCTTGAGGGAGATAGAAAAGCAGGTCCTACTGCCAGCTAACATCCTGGACCCTCTCTGTGGGTACCTTCTCTCTGGACTGTGCTCTGGGTTCAGTCCCGGTACCAGCATTATAAATAAACAAATGAGATGAAACTGGCTCATGCTGTTTGCTGTCATCCTGTTTGCCCTCCTTGGTCGCAGTCCACTTAGTGCGCCAGCACTCTCCTTTCTCTCAGTATGTAGAACTCCGAGGGAAGAAAGCTACTCAAGAGCGATGCAGGGACGGAGGCTCTTCCTCTCCTGCTTGAGGTCTGCTCTTTCCCAGCCTCTGCCCTCATAGAAGAGAATGGTTCACTTGGCAGTTATTAGGATTTATTTGGCTTCAAAGCCTGTCTTTTGTGGTCGGTGTAAAATTCTTTTTCTTGTTTATGTAATCCTGCATTATAAAAAAAATTAATTTCCCTTTTTATTTTAGGGTGGAATTGCTTTTGTTGCCATAAAAGGAGCATTTAAGGTTTACTTCAAACAGCAGCAATATTTACGTCAGGCACACCGCAAAATCCTAAATTATCCAGAGCAAGAAGAAGCATAAAACTGACTTCTGGTTGTTCTGAGGCCTCTCTCTCATCCTGCCGAGTCTGTTGTGTTCTGATTCCATCACTAATGCCCTAGTGGAGACTTGTGATCAGCTACTGCTCCTATATTCTAAGAGATACAATAAAGCACGCAGGGCAGGCAGGGGAAAGCCTCTCAGTAATCACGGAACCTAAGGACACGAGTCAACTCTGTAATTTGTATGTACTACTTTTACGGCAGTCGGCTAAACCATTATTTTAGCATGGTAAACCTGGGTTTGTTCATATTTTTCCAGACAAGAATGTAAAGATAAAACTGTACAAATATTAAAAGTGGACACGTTGTTTTATTCTGACGCCTCTTTTGTATATACTCATGTTCAGTGTTTTCTTAGGAACAGCAACTCGATGAAGGGACTGTGAGGACTTTGTCATGTGTAATTTGATTATGTGCTACACAGGAGGAGCCTCTGTTAACATGAGGAAATGGAAACTAGTTCTGAATAAATAACAAACCCAAGAATGTATGTCAGCATTGAGATGATTATCTGAACAAAAGAGAGTTTGTTGTCTTTTCCTTAACTCATGTGACATCTCAAGATGTGTAGGGTCATGATGGCTTCCGAAGAGCTTTTCACTATTAAACTTTATTTATGCAATGGTGACATCTCATAGTTCATAGTGTAATTTTGGCTCATGTAGTCATCCTGTGTGTGTGCCTGTATGTATGTGTGTGTATGTGTGGGAGGGGGTTAAGAAAGGAGGTAGGAGGGAGGGAAGCAGAAGCTAGTGATAGGGAAATGAGGTGGAAGACCCTTTTATCACTCAGTGTGGTTTTAAATTTGTATTTCTAGAAATTAGAGTTGCCAGTTCATAGTTTATGCAGAGAAAACTTGCAAATAAATGATCATAAAATTACTGGGGTTTTGCTGATTCAATTATTCAGATATTTGTTTGTTAATTGGCTCCCATTTACCTAGCCCCTGTGCAAGGTGCTGTGGGGTGTACAAGTGTTGAATGAGACAGACTTGCTCTTAGAGTTTGCAGTCTAATCCTGGGGAATCCTAAATCACAAAGAGTGATTGAACCAAAGTGAGGTCTTGATGGTGCTGTGAATAGCTGTCAGTGAGGTAACTGTGAAAGCAAGTCTTTAAGGAGTATTGATCAGAGTAATTGATTTCCACTTTATCTGTTTATAGGGTAGCCAATATGTATGTTTTTAGGGTGTTTTGTTTTTTGAATCAGGGTCTCTAGCATAGGCTAACCTCAAACTTCCTGTGTATCTGAAGATGACATTGAACTCCTGATCCCTGATCCTCCCAATTACAGGTGAGCACCCTAACACCTGCTTTTCTTAACTTGATGCTGTGGTTGAACCCAGGGCCTTACCCATGCTAGGTATACATTACCAATTGAACTACATCACCAGCCCTCCTTTTAGATTTTAATTGTCATATTAAGGGGGCGATCTCCTTAATAGTCATTGTTTAACTAGTTTTATATTCATTGTTCAATTATTTAGGTCATGTTTAATAGTGACCATTACAATGTTCAGCAATCTGAATGTTCTTTTCACTTATTTTCATTTATTAAAATGAAAATTTTTAAATGCAAAAAATAATGCTGTTCACAGTATATATGATGCATGATAATGTCCCCCTTACTGAGAAATGGATATTTCTCTTTAGAAGTGTAACAAATACAGATTGAGCTGTGTTAGATAGATTGTAAATAACATTTTAGTAAAGACTGGCATCTCTACGTTGGTTATCTCCGTTTTGAATTTATGGTGGCTGTAGGAATGACTGTTGAACATCCAGAGTTGTAATTATCAGGGTATAAGGGGCAATTTGACTGAGTTAACCTTAACACTGCTGTTGTTCTAAAGAGAAAACATGAACTCTGATTATCTATAAAAATAATTTAGATATGCAGCTGTAATTATGAAATATACTGGCTTCTATAATTGCCAGTGTGAAAAGATCTATTTGACATTTCCTGGATAATCTTAAGTTGAGCAGCTTTAACACAGTTACACAAGCACTCAGTTCCCTGTGTACTACTTTAATGTCCAAGATGGGGAGCAGCTGCTTGGGTTGATTGGCATCAAGGCCCATGAAGGCCAAGAAAGTGATTCTTATTCTTGAGGGCAGGAGGTTTATAGAGCTATGGGGAGGGAACCACAAGTGCCTGCAGTCCAGAGTGAACACTAGCCCTGAATTTGAATAGTTCTCAGTCTAAAGAGTCTTAGTCCAAGAAAACACCATGTGCCAGTCCTCCCTGGAAGGTGGCCTCCCAACCAACCACAAGCCAGCAGACTTAAAGCTGGATGGATTGTATTGCGCTCCTAATTCAAGTTTTAATAACTGTAGTGTTTAACCTTGGCCAGGTGGCTGCCCAGCCGCAATTACATTCATCTCTAAAATGCAAGTAACACTTAGACAGTTTCTAGGATTAGTTGAGGAAGGGTAGGTTCTTTAGGCCTCAGTAACTCCTAAAGGTGGTAGTCTGTTCTAGGACAGGACAGTTATAAAGGACAGGGCCCTAGAGGACAGAGCCAGTGCAGACCTGGGGATGTGTGAGTATACTGTTCTCCAATTTATTTTCATATTTGTTTTTTTTGTTATTTCTAGAAATGTCACATTTAAACTTTTTTTAATAAAATTTAGTGATTAGTAAAATTCTATTGCAGAAGTTAACTCCATCAAAGTGGCTGAAAATGTTGTTCATTATCAAATGATTGAAGAATATATAATTAAGTGGCTTCATTAGTCACTGCCTTGCTAATTCTGCTGTATTTTTTTTCTAATTCTTTTTAATATAGAAAACTCAATACTGGCTGAATTAGGTTGAATAAAGAATTTTTATGCTCACTAAGTGTATTTTGTCTGTTGAACCAACCCTAAAACTAATTCTCTGTACCAATTTCACTATTTTGAAGTTAAGTTTTAAATACCTATTTAATTAGGTGTATCTCTGTGTGGGTATGTGCACATTGAGTGCAGAAGAGCACCAGATCCCCTGTGGCTCACAGGTGATTGTAAGCCACCAGACTTGGGTGCTGAGAAGTAAACTAGGGCTCTTTGCAAGAGCAGTAAGCACTTTTCCCCCTATTTATTCACTTTACATTTTGATCACAGCACCACCTCCTCCCAGTTCCTCCCTCACATAACTCTTCCCCCATGCCCCCTTCCCTTCTTCAAGAAGGGGGAGCCCCTCCCCCACACACATACCAACCCACCCTGGCACCTCAAGTCATTTGCAGGACTAACTAGGCACATCTCCCACTGAGACCAGACAGGGCAGCCCACTTAGGGGACCAGGATCCATAAGCAGGCAACAGGCTAAACCCGCACTCCAGTTGTTGGGAGACTCCTATGAAAACCAAACCCCATCTGCTACATACATCGGGGGCAGGAGGGCTAGATGCTAGATCCAGCCCATGTATGTTCTTTGGTTGGTGGATCAGTCTCTGGGAGTCCCCATCAGTAAGCACTTAATCCCTGAACCACTCTCCTGTTTTAAATTTTTATGTGTGTTAATGTGAGTCTTGTGGCTTGTATGGAAGTCACAGACAGCTCTTGGGAGTTCTTTCCTTCCACCATGTGGACGTTGGGGGTTAAACTCTAGACATCAAATGTGTGAAAGCCATCTTACCAGCCCTGTGGTTTTTAAACTACAACTTGCTTGTCTAGGGTGCAGGAATTTAGGAGTTCAAAACCAAGTGCAGTAGGTAACATGCCTGTAATCCCAGTACTCAGAAGTAAACACAGGAGGGTCAACTCAGAGTGATCCTTGGCTACATAGCCAGTGTGTGTGTGTGTGTGTGTGTGTGTGTGTGTGTGCATGTGTGTAAAGTTTAACTTATTTCAAAATATATTCTAATGATGTGTCCCTTCCTGCCATCCTTAGAGCCCCTGGAACTTAGTATATAAGTGGGCGTCCTCTGAGATACGAGATCTTTAAAAATAATCGTGGAGGTTTTGAAAATTTCATGTAGTCCAAGTTGACCGCAAACTTGCTCTTCATGTCCTACTGTACCTCCAAAAGGCTGTGATTATAGACACGTGCCACCAAAACCAGCTTGAAATACTAGGACAAAGCGTTCCTGATGTAGAGGCTGGAGAGAAGGCTCTGCAGTTAAGAGTACTTGTTGCTCTTGCAGAGGGACAGGGTTGCATTCCCAGCACCTTACATGTAACTCCAGTTTTAGGGAGGACTGATTCCTTCTGGCCTCTGCAGGTACCAGGTATGCATTGGTACAAAGACATACAGGCAGGGAAAACACAAAAATCTAAAAATGTTTTTAAAGTTTCAAAAGCAGATTAGAAATGTTCCAAATTGAATAAGTCAAAGACACTTGAATCTTAATAATTCTGTTGTTCTAAGTCGATTTATTGCCCATGTCTGATATACAAACTAGTAGGAGAAACAGTTCAGTAGCCTTGGGTGCATGCTGTAGATGATAAGGGGAGTTTCCTCCTAGACCTTCAGTTTCCTAATAGATAAAATGAAGTCTGTAAAACCTGTTTATTTCCTGGGTTATTGTGAAGACTAAATGAAGTGGCTTTTTACAACAAAGTTTGATATTCAAGAGAGTCTGTACAAATAGGTACATAGTGGAAGTTTGTCCATAAACTTAACCTTGGGCTGCTGTTTCCCAGCTGCCTGCCTTCCCGAACGCAGGAAGGGAGGGCTTGCATCTGATAAGTACCGAAGCCTAACCGACCAGCAACAAGCTAGACCCGTTCTGTTCAAGCTTATGAGGCATTCAAGCATGTGTGGTTAAAATAACTGTATCCAAAGCAGTGGATATTTGCTGACCATGCCCCAGGTACTGTCCTGGAGTAAACTGGTGTGAATAAGCCTGCTTTGAGTAAGAGGTGAGACATCTTACTTGATCTGATACCACAAGTCTCTTAAAGGAGGTTTTATTTTCTTTTTAAATCTTAGTTACTATTCGATTCTAGCACTGGAATTTCTGCTTCTGCAAAGGGTAGATAAACATCTTGTGAAAATGGAGAAAGCATTCCTTTCATAATCAAAACATTCCTCAGATCTAGTTCTGTGTGTGTGTGTGTGTGTGTGTGTGTGTGTGTGTGTGTGTGTGTGTATGTGTGTGTGTGCACGCATTGGGGGGAAGCAGTGCACTTTATATGGAGGCCAGAGGTCAACATGGGGTGTCTTCCCCAACATTGTTTTGAGTCTCTCACTTGGTCAGCTCGACTGGCTGGCCACAAAACCTAGACCCACTGGGGTTACGGCCACACGTGGATGCAGGAGGTGTGAGCTCAGCTTGCTCAAGCCTTCACTTTACTTTAACCTTCACTTCCTCCCCAGGCCCTGCATCCATCCTTCCTTCTGTTCTTCCTTCCTTCCTTCCTTCCTTCTTCCCTCCCTCCCTCCCTCCCTCCCTCCCTTCCTCCTTCCCTTCCCTCCCTCCCTCCCTCCCTCCCTCCCTTCTTCCTTCCTTCCTTCCTTCCTCTTGGGTCCTGCTTGGTTTGGTTTGCTTTTTAATTTATTTTTTACTGAAAGTAGACTTTTTTTTTTAAGATTTATTTATTTCATTTATATGAGTACACTGTAGCTGTCTTCAGACACACCAGAAGAGGGCATCAAATCTCATTACAGATAGTTGTAAGCCACCATGTGGTTGCTGGGATTTGAACTCAGGACCTCTGGAAGAGCAGTCAGTGCTCTTAACCAATGAGCCATCTCTCCAGCCCCCGAAACTAGACTTTTACATACAATATATTCTCTTTTTTTATCTTTAGTCCTTTTTTTTACAGTCCAATCATTATCTCCCTCCTGTTCTGCCCTCCAACAGTTCCTCATCCCATTTCTCCTCCTCCCCCATCTCCAAGAGGATGTCCATGCCTACTTCCCACAGCGCCGACAAGCCTCCCCACTCCCTGGGGCCTTAAGTGGTGTATCTTCTCTCACTGAAGCCAGACCAGGCAGTCCCCTGCTGTATATGTGTTGAGGGCCTCAGACTAACTAGTGTATGATGCTTGGTTGGTGGCTCAGTGAAGGAGATCCAGTGACCGGCCCAAATTGAGATCCATCTCAAGGGAAGGCTCCAAGGCCTGACACTATTACTGATGCTATGATGTGCTTACAGACAGGAGCTTAGCATGGCTGTCCTCCAAGAGGCCCAACAAGCAGCTGACTGAAAAAGATGCAGATTCTTACACCCACCAATGGACTGAAGTCAGGGACCCCTGTGGTTGAATTAGGGAAAGGATTGAAGAAGCTGAGGAGAATGACCCCATAGGAAGACCAGCAGTATCCTAGTTTCTTGCAATAAACCTTAGCTCCTTTTTCCTGGGTGGAGAGGGTATGTGCTAGGGACCAAAAATGGCTTGTACAAAAGCAAGCGCTGTGCACTCAGGAGCTACACCCACAGGACTGAAGCAACTGGGTGGGCGTTTATTAGACGAAGAGTCTCACTTTAGAGCCTGTGTTGACTTCCAGCTTTCAATCCTGCCTCAGCTTCCTGAGTGCTGCAGTCAGGTGTGTATCACCATCCCTGGCCCCAGAGCAAAAAAAGCTTTTGTTTGCTTGTTACTTACATTGAGATATGGGCTCAATCTGTAGCCTTGACTACAGACTAAAGCTCACTGTACAGACCAGGCTGGTCTTGAACTCCGAGATCTGTCTGCCTCTACCTCCTGGAGCACTGAGATTTAAAGACATGGCCACCATACCCAGCTTATTATTTATTTATTTTATGCATGCTTTGCCTGCATGTATGTATGCATGTGCAATGCATGCTTGCCTGGTGCCTGCAAATCCCAGAAAAGGCATCAGATACTATGGAACTGGTGTTACCAACAGTTGTGAGCCTCCATGTGGGTGCTGGGAGTACAACTCTGGATGTCTGGAAGCAGTCTGTCCTCTTAACCACTGAGCCATCTCTCCAACCCTGCAACAGTTTTGTTTGTTTTTTAACTATATAAAAGAACTGTGGGGCTAGAAAGATGGATCAGCAGTTGAGGGTATTGACTGCTCTTCCAGAGGACCCAGGTTCAAGTCCCAGCACCCACATAGCAGCTTGCAACTGTCTGTAACTCCAAGATCTAACACCTTCACACAGACATGCATGCAGGCAAAAAACCAATTCACATAAAATGGAAATAAATAATTTAAAAAAATAAAGGGCTGGTGAAATGGCTCAGTGGTTAAGAGCATTGGCTGCTCTTCTGGAGGTCATGAATTCAAAGCCCAGCAACCACATGGTGGCTCACAACCACCCGTAGTGAAATCTGATGCCCTCTTATGGGGTGTCTGAAGACAGCAACAGTGTACTTACATATAAATAATAATGACAACAAAAATAATAATAAAGGCTGGAGCAAGCGGGCCCAGAGCAAGAGAGAATGGAAGGGAAAATAAAAATAAAAATGAATAAATTAATTAATTAAAACCGCTTTGTACCACATAACTGTGAAAGGCGCAAGATGAATCAGATGCCTATTAATGAGCTTTGCCCTGGTTCCTCCCAAAGGCTGACGATAGCAAACCTCCCATCCACAGGCTCGCTCAGGACACCTTGGATGAACGCTCCCTTTAAGAACATGAATAAAGCACTGTCAGCCATTTTACAACCCTTGACATTCAGCCATTCAGAAATAAATTTGGTCAGTGGGATCTGCTTGGGAGCTCACAGGCTGACAGGATTTGGGGCATACTGTTGGATTAGGCTCTGTGCCCAGCCGGTGAGTCTCCGGGGAGAGATTTGGATATAGGTAGAAGGTTTGCAGCTGTGCCATATCCATGTCATTAAAACTACTTTACATCCATGGCAGGATTGATGGAACCGTAGCATCCAGGGCCTGTTTCAGCCTCTGAAAACCATCTCAAAACCTCTAGA